GTTGAAGAGGGTGAAGGCAATCAAATATATGGTGATGGAGGGAGACTACACTTTGGAAAGTAAGCACACAATGCAATAGATAAATGATGTGTTATAAAATTGCAAACCTGAAACTTATATAATGTTATTAAACAATGTCACCCCAATAAATTTAATTTTAAATGACCTAAAAATGATATTTTGTTGGTGATGTATATAAACACATTGTACAAATTTATCCAAAAAAAAAATCACTTGAAATAGGTGGTTTTAAAGGCTGTTCTATATCAGGTAGCTCAAAATATAAGCTCTCATGTTACCCCGGCTTTAATTATCCTATCTAATAATAGACAAACATGGCCCCCGCACCAGTGCACAAATGTTTGTGCACCGGGCCTCTAGTCCTATCTAATAGTAGCCTAATATGCAAATTGACCAAACAGAAGAATGACCAGTGGAACAACCCATTCCTATGATACACACTAACCACCAGGGAGCAACTCTGCGCCACCCCACCTGGTGCCAGTGGCAGCGTGATCCCGAGCCGCCGGCCTGCCCCAGGGCAGGATCTGGGCCTGTGGTGTGCGGGGCAGGGTGGCGGGGCAGGCGGCAGGGAGATCCCCAGCCACCACCTGCCCCAGCGTGAGATCCAGGCCTGTTGTGTGCAGAGCGGGGGAGACGGGGCAGACACTGCGGGACTGGGCCTGCCATCTGCCACCAGGGGAGCGGGCCTAAGCCAGCAGGTGGTTATCTCCTGAGGGGTCCCAGACTGTGAGAGGGCACAGGTTGGGCTGAGGGACCGCCCCCCCCACCCCCGTGCCAGTGCACAAATGTTTATTAGTCCTAATAATAGCCTAATATGCAAATTGACCAAACAGCAGAATGACCAGTGGAACAACCCGTTCCTATGATACACACTAACCACCAGGGAGCAACTCAACTCAGGAGCTGCCCCCAGCCCACAGGCCCCAACCTGCAATGGCACCGAGGGGCAAGGCAGGTGAGCGGGCAGCTCCAGGCCAGCCAAGGCGGGTGCCGGTGGGGGCCCCACAATTGCCCTGCTAGTTGCCCTGCAGATTGGTCCTGATCACTGATCAGACCTAGGGACCCTACCCATGAACAAATTTCATGCACCAGGCCTCTAGTTTAATAATAATGTTAGTTTAAGCAAGTCACCTATACTCAACAACACTCACTTTATTCATACATAAAATGAGAATGTGCATATTTACAGGGTGCTATTTGTATTAAATAGATAATATATGCAATAAGCTAGAGTGTTTGCCACTCAATAAAATTATTTTTTTTATATTTGTTATTTCCAGGAGTGAATAAGCCTAATACAAATTTTAAAAAACATCTCACAGGCTCTCATCCTTTTTCCTTGAAAATAGAACCATCTTCAGTTAACTGAAAAAGCATAATAATCTCTTCATACTTCTTTTTTTTTAAACCTCATTGGAGGATATTTTTTCCATTGATTTTGTGTGTGTGTGTGTGTGTGTGTGTGTGTGAAAGAGTGGAGGGGAGCGAGGAGGGGGCAGGAGAGAGAAAGAAACGTTGATGTGAGAGAGACTCATCAATTGGTTGCCTCCCACATGCACCACCACACACACACACACACACACACACACACACTGGGGTCAGGGATGGAGCCTGCAACCCTTGACCAGGAATCCAACTGCTGACACTCTAACCACTGAGCAAAACCGGCCAGGGCTCTTCCTACTTCTTGACCACCCTACATTTTTCCAAGCCTTTTCCAGCAAAGTAATTTACATGTCATTTATGTGCTGCCTGCATTGTATTTGGCATTTTTATCGGTTATCTTAATGGTTCCATATAAGAGTTTTTTTACCTATAAAGTGTTTTCAGGGAAAAAATAAGGCCCAAAAAAGGTGAAATGACAGTGCTGAAGAGTCTAATTTTAGGACAAAAAAGAGATTTGGAACATAAATTTGAAAACTCAAAGATGTGCAAGCCTAATGTGGGGCAACATGCCTGCCCGTGGGGGGGGTGGGGCTGCAGGCCCAGCTGCAGTTTGGGTACAGGCTGCAGATCACCTGGCAGCACTGTGCATCCGCTGCACAGAGGTAGGTGGCTGAGTCCTCCAGTTGGGAGGCTGTGATGCTCAGGGTACTGTACAGGTCCTTAGAATTCAGTGTGGAGCTTAACCTTCCACTGTGCTTTGTCCCTGAAGCTAAATAAAATAGATTGATGAGGCCGCCCCGGGATTCTGTCGGAACCACTGCACATTGGTCATTGTGGTAGAAAAATTGCACCTCAGAGAAGAGCTGGTTCCCTCCTGAAGGATCAGGACTGAAGGACTCTGCTCCACCTTCATCCCTGTCACCCCTGCTTGGAAAGAGAAAAACAAACACATAGGAGGTCACTGGGGATGTTTGATACAGTTTCTAAATCTGTAAAATATCCCAAGAAACACCAGAATAGGAGCTCTGTGTCAGCTCTGCCTTCCCCCTTCTATTGACAGCGGTGGAACACTCCCTAGTTCCCCATCTGGGACTCACAGCAAACCTGGGCCCACAGAAGCCCCAGCAGAGCCCCCAGGTGTCTCCTCATGATGTCTTGCCAAGTTGCTGTGGTGCCTTTGCCCCTGCTCTGAAGAGTGTAGAGTCCTGGACCAAGGCAAATGTTGTTCCTGCACTCAGTGTGTTTCACCAGACTCACTGAGGCCCAATCACCTCTCAGCTCTGTCATTCATCTTAACAGCAAACTCCACCCACATTGGCCCAGTGAGATGGCACAGTCATCTCTCCAAAATTGTGAATACAAACAGTTCAGGACTGTAGGAGTCAACATTTCCAATAAGTGAAGGTATAAGCTGGTGATTTCTCTTAAAACACATTATATAAGAGAAGTTTGTGGAATAGTGTATGAGGAAGGGTGGATAGTGTTTCTAGATTATCAGTGTTTCAATGGGTTATGTAGAACCTTGAAGAATCCCAAGAAGAATGACCCAGTTCCTAAATTGCATAGTTTGACAGAGAACTTTTTGAATTCAGTTACATGAAAATTCTGATACAGGAAAACTATATGATAGCATGCATTGTGTACTGCAGAAGTAAATGAGTTTCTTGACATCAGGAGAGTTTTTGAAACCAAGACATACGGTCACCATCTGCAGAGAAAATAACTTCAACAAAATTTGCTTGATGAAAAATAGAATTTGTGTATAATTTCCACTTTGACTTAATTTCCAACTCTCTCC